TTAGTGAAAGTCATTAGTAAAAGTCATGTAGCTTAAGCTGTATGTAGAAGTCTTGATAACATGGGAAATTAAGTATACAAGTCTTCCAGAGTGAACTTAAACAGTTAACCACATTCGATATCTAAGAGTGTCACTGAGATTATGGAATCGTAATTCAGCATGGAATTATTATTTCTTTACACTGTGAAAATAAATTTTGACCCCAATAATTTACTGTTTGAGCCTGTAGTTGTGCCTCAGTAAGACTGCATTTATTTACTTTCGTTATTTTTAGTCGGCTGAATTTGAAAGCTTTTAGTGAATAATTTTGGTGAATTGAGCATTTGAATTTATATTTTCTCAATTTAAAAAAGAAATTGGTATGACTAGTTTGATTTTATGTTGTTTAAATCTCCAGTAAGACATTCTTTCTATAGAAATATGTAAGTAATTTTTTTAAAAAATCTTTGTATTGGTAATACAGACCCATGTAATCTGAAACAAAAATTAGCTGGGTAAGAAAGACATCAGATAAGAAAGGCCTGGTTTTGCTCACTCATTTTTGGGAACTTAGAGAAATTAATCAGAGGAATTCCTAAAAAGAAACAGAAGGCCTTCTCTACCTAATGACATCCTGAATTTCTAAGTGTCCTTCCAGTGAGGCATCCTGGAATCAATACCCATAGCACTTTCGCCATACAGCAACAGTTCTTCCTTCCTGATAAAATAATACAACTTTCTAAAATATGTAGGCCTGCACCTCAGATTATTAAAGAAACTGCGTTGTGCAGTTCATGGGATCGACTGTATTTGTCGTACATGCTGAATGGTGATCCAACCATCAGTCTCATATTTATACTAGCTCCTGGGATAATTTTAGCCTTTAAACCTCTTGAACTGATGTGGTTTAGTATTTGCATATGTCCAGCCCCTATTGTTTTGAGTTGTGTGAAGAGTTCCTTTAAAGAAAATCTCATTTCAGTTTTTATCCTGTTGAACTGTACTTAGCACCTGCTCCCCCTTCGTGATGTAATGGAATTTTATATACTGCGCATTCATTTCTACATCAGAGTGTTCTGTATCTAGTTTTCAGGCTTCTGAAAACCAAGGACATTTTTAATTAATAAAAAAAGAATATTTTTAGTTTAATGAGGCTGCATATATACACTGTGAAATATTGGCAATAGTAATAAAACTAGTTTCATTAGAAAAGCCCTCATTTTAGGTTTCATAACTCAGTTTAAAAAAAAGACGGCCTTCTGAAATTGACTTCTGACTTCAGGTGGGAAGCAAACTGATTCTTGAAATGTTCAATTTGAAAGGATTTTTTTTTTGAGTTTTAACTGTGGCATTTTAAGGTAAAATATTTTAAAATACTTTTTTTGGTGGTATTTTGTTTTAGAAACACAGTGAAAACAACTACATTCATGACATAGAACAAAAGCAAGACGCAGAATTTGCACTGAACCTAAACCTGTTTTCTAAGATTCTGTAACAAATCCTGCCTGAAGGAGACATTCCAGGAAAGAAGTTTCATGATAATTTTGAAAGTCTGTTTTTAGTGTTACATGGATAAACTCTAGTCTGCCAGTCAGTTTAGACTGAAGAGGGCTGCATTTATCATTGTCACTGAATTCTGCTGTGATATCCCAGTCTATGGAATCAGCCACACTGCAGTACCTGCTACAGGGGTATGCCTAAAGCTTTTCTGGTTTTCAGTTTAACTTGATCAACTTCTGACCCTTCCATCTGGTTGCAGCATACGAAGTACCTAATTCCTGATAAATGTGTGGTTTTTAAAATGTGTCTATGTGATATAAATAGATTGCCAACATAAATTTCCAGGGAACTGGAGCGAGCATCTCCGTACTGCACTGTAGCATGCAGTATATACACACCTGCATGACAAATGTTAAGATACTGCTTCGTGACAGTCTAATCCACAGTCTTAAGTCCAGGTTGCTTTGAGTACTCCTCTCCATCCCTACTGTCATTAGCACAGTCCTGCACTCTCCTCTTCATCAGCACTGGCATTCGTATCACCACAGCAGTAACATAGTAGGAGCTGACAAAAAAATTAAATCTTTTGGGGTGTTTTTTTTGGTAGGATTTTTTTTTAGGCCACCTCAGCTTTCTCATCTGCTTGCTGTAGCATTGCATGACCACGAGTGCAGAGAGGGTGAGGCCGCCTGGCTAGGGGCAACCGTGGAAGCTGTGGTTCAGGTTTGTTTAATCTGCTGTGGATGAACACCACAATCCCTCCTAATTTGATAGCATAGAACAACATTCTCGGTGCTGCAATAAACTTCCCACTCCTTCCTTGCAATTTATTTTTTTAAGTCTCTATTTCACTGAAACAGTTACTAATTTTAATTGTATGTTTACCTACATTTTCAAGTGAAATAACCACCAGTGGGAAACTAGAGTACACTGTAAGCAGACGGCAGTATTTTCAGAAACCTATCTTATCTTAAACATTCAATTTGTTTCTTCTTTTTTTTTTTTCTTTTTTAATTTGAGAAACTTTAAATAGGTAGAGAAACCAGAAAAGGTATTTTCATTTTTGCAGAGATTTAGATTTAAAATATATATATAGATATTAAATAATTTTATGGGTCAAATTTGCGTAGCCTAAATCTATCCTGGGTGTAAGAAGTGAACTTAGAGGTGGCTTGTACATGGCAACATCTTGGGATGTACATATGCATACAAGGCACGTTGTGTGTAAGTTTTCTTTTTACATGCATAAGTGTGAAAAAAAAATTGATTATGGGAGATGCATATTATGTCAGAGACTGTTACTCATGTGGGCCACACCTGATCCTGCTATAAATGGCTGCAGCCTATTGATAACACCAGGGAACTAACCTTTTTGATGACATTTTATATAAATGTTCTCTTCCTGCAATAGCAGCTTGTGAAAGTTAACAGCTTTTATGTTACTGAGAGGGGGAAGATAAATGTTCGGATAAACTTGAATCAATTAAAGCAAAATTTATAGAACTTAAATGAAAACCAGATAATACACTGCAGCTCTAATTAACCCCACATTTAAGTGCTTCCATCTTGACTGCCTCAGCTATTTGATGAGAGGTGCTTTACTGCCTCTAGTTACTGCATTTGTGTAAACAAGGCTAAGACAACAAACTGCATGTTTTTTAACTTGAATGTTACAATTATGCAGAAGTTCAATTGCTCTTCTGCTATGTCATTTACTCCTTCATTAAAACCAGAGATACAGTTAGCAGACTGTAGGTATGCTATACAGTATGCTCAGCTTAATTGGTGGATAATTTTCCTCCCTGTTTAGGAAATGATGCAACATCAATAGTCAACTGTCTTCACATACTGGGCCAGACCTTGGATGCAAGGTAATACTGAATGTATTTTCTAAACTATGAAGAAAATCACTTAAGAAAATAATGTGCAGTCAAATTTGGGTTAGCTGTGTAAGGCTACAGGATTTCAAAACTCAGGAAGTTATAGTACTGAATATAATGCTTATTGCAAAGCAGGTTAATTACTAGTTAATTACTAGGGTTTGCCAGGACAGTATTTGTAGGTTACACTTTCAACTTCAGTAGTGTCTGGGAACTGCTGGCTGTTAGTTCATCAGGTTTTAATCATATGACCGTCCCAAAACTATGATAACATTAGAAACATTTCATTCTTTTGCTTACACTGTTTAATCAAAAAATTCAGGAGTTAAATGCACATAGAGTGCAGTAAATCTGGCACATAGAAAGTCTTCGTTGCAAAGTTAATTCAGGTTCTAATTTGAACAAAAAAACCCCTTTACATCGAATTCAGTGGTACTTTTAAATTGCGCATAGTGGGCCATTTTGAGGTTTATGGATGAGACAATCTTGAAATATTGGAGGGTAATGTGTTGCTCTCCATTAACTGTACAGTCAACTGTCTGTACTGATAGTTGACTTTTAGATCTTTGCAATTGTGAAAGAAAACATGATAGTTTAAGCTACCTCCATGGTAATTTAAGGTAACTTTTTTCACTTTGCGTTTACTCTGCAAGAATTGACTGAATTACATGCAGATAGCTCTTTTTCTCGGTATCTTTACAGTGACTTAAATGAACAAATTTTACTTTCCATTTGCTATGGATAGAGTCATGATCGTGGTCATTAGTATGGCTCAGCTGTTGCATGGTAATCCTTTAGGTTGCAGTATCTTGGGGTTTTGTCATAAATTGTCCATGCTCTGTGCAATCATACAGATGGAACACAGGTATGGGTGGAGGTCACCAATTTAGCTCTTAGTAGAGGTGTAAAAATAACTCCAGACAGGGATTAAGGGATTCATGGAAGTTACATGAAAGTTTGAAAATATTGCTATTGAAACTGTATGTATTCACTCTGTAAAACAAACAAACAATCAAAAAGAAAATCTGGACTATTACTCAGTTTGCAAAAGAATTTCACCTGGATTTATTTCTCGCATGCCTAAATGGATACTTTCCTTAAACAAAGGATCTCTGTAATTGAGCTAGTTAAGTAAGTTATTTCTCCTGGATTGTATCATTACATAACTGATTATGTGTTATATAATCAGTGCATTTATTTATTTAATTTTAAACAAATTTGCTTGTTTTTAATCATTCCTTTCTGATTCTGGAGGCAGAAATATGACTGTCATGGTTGGGAAGGCTTTCTGAGTTCCAGCTTGGGATCGTTCTTCTCTTCCTAGAGTCATAAATTGCAGACTTACTCATTATTCTTCTTTTTTGTTAGCTGTTTTTCTCCCTCTGAAGGCAAATGAATCACTTAAATTATAAATTTAAAAGAACTTTATTTTCTCAATGGGAAACCAGATAAAATATCCTTGTGTTCTGCAGGATACACATGAAATGTTTTTTCAGTAGGTTGTTCTGCTATAAGAAGATTTTACCGTATCAAAAGATGAAAGATGTTTCTTCAGATCTTTCTTATAAGCCAAGACTAGGCTTTATTCCATGCATGTCTAATAGAATATTCTTTTTCATTCTTTTTGCATGCTATATACAGGACTGTGATGAAAACTGGTCTGGAATCTGTTAAGATGGCATTGAGAGCATTTTTGGACAATGCTGCTGAGGATCTGGAGAAAACAATGGAAAATCTTAAGCAAGGCCAGTTTACACACAGCAGGAACCAGCCAAAGGGAGTTACACAAATCATTAATTATACCACAGTTGCTCTCCTGCCAGTACTATCTTCATTATTTGAGCATATTGGACAGCACCAGTTTGGGGAAGATTTGATATGTATGTATTATTTAGAAGTGCCATGCCACTAAAATATCTGTAATGTCATGTAGTAAGCATTAGTAGACTCTCAGTTCTATTAGAGAAGGACAAATCCCACATCATTTTGACAAAATTGTCATTGATTTAATCAAACATTTGCTGTAATCGACCTAGAACGGTCTGCAGGTTTTAGTGGACTTTGTTCAAATATTAAAGCAGATGTGTCTGTGATTAGACAGTCAGAGGCTCAATTTTGTTTATAACCTTACCACAGATTTAAAATTACTTTCTTCTTATGTGAAAAATTACTTTGTATAAGTTAATTTGTCTTTGCTCTGCCTATAAATGAGGTTATACTATGAGAATGATGTTAATTCCATCATACATGCACCTTGGCTCAGTTTCTGTTAGTGGGGAATTTGAGTGGGTGCATCTTAGATCCTAACGAAAAGTGAAAGGAGCTCCTGAAGAATTCAGGCACCAGAGAAGGGAATCTGTATGAGATTCTGGATATGCAATTTCTGTAGAGGTTCTGATTATGGCTCATTCAGTGTCCTTTACTTTCCCAAACCCAGTCTGTGCAAGACATGCAGTCTGCAACACATAACTTTAATTTCTAGGAACTCCACAGGAATTCTGCTGTCCAGACTGCACTAAAGGAGGCAATTCTGCTCAGTACAGCTAACTCAGTTATGGAAATAACTGAGAGAAGGACCTAGAAGAAAAGAATATAAAATTGTATTTTTTCTCTTTTTAGAATCTGAAAAAGTATTATTTAAAATAGCATTAAGAGGACTGTTTCTGAAAATTTGGAGTTGTATTGATGGATTTGAATGTGATGAGATGTAAACATCCACTTTTCTCATTAAATTATTTCTGTAAAATTCAGGGGACTGTGACAGCGTCCAGAAAAAGTCATCTTTGGGGTTCACATACATCACTTGTTCAGCATAAGCCAATTTTTCAGAGATAAACATATTCATGCCTTGTATAATTTTTGATCTCTGATATTCCATGTTTTGGAACTTAATAATTAACCTTTGATACTTTATCACTTAAGTTAATGAGCTATTCTACATATATCACACTGATCTCAAACACCCAATTTAGAATTAATAAACTGAGAAAGAATAATTAATTTAAATTATACCTACTTATTTTGACTAGACCATAGTTGGAAAGGCTAATTTTTCTTACACACAACTTCTCTTTGCATGTTGTTAACAATAAGTTTATCTTATTTGTACTACACTGATGACAAGCATCTTGACCTGGTGCTTGTACCTAAGAGTGTTGCTACACATACAGAGTACTCCATGGTGTGACCATGTACAAAGGTAGGTCGGCATACCTGAGGTTACTGTTACTATGTTAAACATACTTAACTCCAAGATAATCCAAACTAAAATCATGGTATAATAAAGAGCCAAGCTCTGTAGCTTTGGTGCACCATCTTGTAGCCTCTCCCAGCCCATTAAGTCTTATCCTGTTTTACTCCCAACATTTCATTGCATATTGGGAGAAGATATTAGCACTGTGGGAGAGACTAGAAAAAATATATGTGGAAAGAATGGGAGTGTTGTCCTTGATGATATTTATACTGTTGTTACACTGTTACTGCAGATTACATTGAAAAAGCATTTTTTCAAACAGATGTTAGGATTATTCTCACTTTTTGTGACTGAAACTTTTAATAATTTCAAGATATGCTTTGGTGAAGTATTCATAAGGACTAAAGGATTAATTATTTTTTTAATCCTTTGTCAGTCTGAAGTGTAAATTAAGTGCATACTATTAACTGATACCTGTGTCTAAATTTTAAAAATCATAAACTGTGATTAAAAGAATTAAATATCTGTTTAACAGAATTGCCTTTCTTTTATAATGTATTTTATACAGTGGTGTTATATTTGTAAATAGATTTGTTCCCTAATAATTTTTTTTTACTTTCAGCACTTTTTTTGATTTACCTAGAAACTTTAAGTGCTACAGACAAACTAGAAAAGATTCATTCACACATTTGTTTATAGCTATTAAATTAATAAAATCTCAGATTATACAATCATGTTATCCGTAAAGGCTTGGTATGCCATTAATTTCAGACAGTTAGTGTACTAGTGAAAGATGTTTACTGCCTTAGCTGCTAACTTGGTATTGAAGTAAATGGAAATTTTGAGTAAAAACTATGGCGCTCGGTGCTCAGATGATTTTTTTTTATTTATTTAGAGAGTGATTTCTGTGAATTGCCTTTGATAGCTTGATATTATTAATCTAGTTATTGTCAAAAGAAGAGTATTTTAATTCTACAGAAATATATTGCAAAGAAAAGTCTCTTTATACCTGTCATTTTCTTCTCTTTAGTGGAAGATGTTCAGGTCTCCTGTTACAGAATATTGGCCAGTTTGTATGCTCTAGGAACCAGCAAGAGTATCTATGTAGAGCGGTAAGAAGAAAAAAAGTGTTTTTTAATATTTGTGTTTATACTTAGCTGCGTGAATATACAGTCCAGAAATTAATATAGGAAGAGACTGTTGTTGGAAAGATACTGTGAGAGAAAAAAAGGTGCTTAGATGTTAAGTGGTATGCAACTGCATTTATTATAATACACTTAAAATTTTACATTATATGTTTGTCAAAATATATCTTAGTTAAAAATTACAAATAGAATTATCTGACTTTACGATAAATATCACTTGATTTGAGGCTTAATTGGGGAATTGTAAAATATGTCATTCAGCTCAGCTGTTGTTATAATTCTTCCTTATATATTATTTAATTGTGTATATTTCTTTCTCATTACCCTAAATTTAATAAAATTTGTCACTCATACAACACTACTCCTTTTCTAGCCCAATTACCCAGGGAAATGAGGCTTTATAATTGCTTTTTTGTGCATCTGTATATCTGCTAACCTCCCTCCAAGTTCCATTTGGTCTGTGCAAACCATACTCAGCCAAAATACAGAGGTAACTAGATAATTCAGTTCTTAAAACTGAATAATTGCTCTGTAGTGACTAGTACTGCTCTGAGGGAAGGCTAAATAGAACTTATACATTTCAGATATTGGCAGCAGTAATCTAGAAAGATCATATATCTGTACACAGCCTTGCAAATCAACCTGTGCATAACTCCAGACCAGCCCCGCGGTATACCCTTGCTTACTTGGTGGCAATATCACAGGAAACATTATGAAGAAAGATGGGGACCAATATTAATTGGTCCCCATCTGTGGAAAACCAGGTGTCATTCATTTCATATGGAATAGAAAATTAATTGGGTTTGGTATTTGGCAAATAAATGATGTGGGGTTTGTAGGTAAGAGGAAATATGTCAGTGTAAGTGTCAATTTTTGTGTATGATTGTCTACAACTGTTATCGTAAGCAAAAAGCACATAGCATGCTCTTTGTAGGTGTATGTGGTGGAGGTATGTTTTGCTTCATTAGGTGAAGACCTAATGAAAAGGAAAAAAAGAATGAGAAAACAGGATAATAATGGGAATGAAGTTAGATTTAACAAAACCAAGTTTAATGAGTGAAATCTAGAAAGAATGTAAGTTCTTAAAATGAGATAAACTATAGAGTGAAGATGTATCTTGTTAAATCATAAGATCAGTTTGGAGGCTTTTTTTTCTTTCTTTTTTTTTTTTTTTTTATTACTTGGAAGTTCATGTGACTCCTGGATTTCTGTCATCTATGTTGCTCAGCTTCAGCAGCTAAGGATTTCTCACATATCTAAAATCTACTATGGTCAACTGAATTGGAAATCAGAAAGATTAGTTTTAAATGTCCCCTGAAGGACTCAAGTGAAGTGACAGGGGCTCACTTACTTCTTCCTAGAGACAGGCTTTTTACAATTTTGACACACTTAAGGAATTTTGATTATCAAATAAATGTTGTCATATATTTTAAGAGATTAGAACAACGGTTTTGTGCAAAACTTTCAGAGTTACTGATCAGTAGAAGCAATTTCCCACTCTCTGAAGAACCTGACTTTCATGCTAGAGCAAGATCTGATTATTACCGTTTCTCAGAAAAAGGAAATTATATGACTCAAATAAAATGTAGCTGTATTTGGTCTCTTGACCTAGTCACTAACTTTTTCTTACTAGTAGAGATTATAAAGTCACTAAAGCTGAGAAGAAAGTAATAGAGCAGAAGGCATTGTTATGACGACTTTGGGTTTTCCCTGCATGTTCCTCAATTGCTCAGCTAAGTAGGCCACCTTTGACATTTTACATCTTTAACATTTCATTCATATATTAGCAGGGGGTTGCTGGATGTCAATGTCTATTACCTATTCTTGTGTTGATGATCCTAATGATGTAGTGGCTTCTCTTTTTGAGGCTTATCTTAGATTAAAAATAAGGCTGGTATAGAACTACCCCAAGGTGTAGTCAGTTGTCAAAGATGTGTATACTTAATGATGTTTGTTAATTCACAGGCAACGATCAGCACTAGGAGAATGCTTGGCCGCTTTCTCAGGTGCCTTTCCTGTGGCTTTTTTGGAAACGCATTTGAACAAACATAATACCTACTCAATTTACAATACCAAGAATGCGAGAGACAGAGCAGGTATTTCCAGAAACTCACATAACGGTTATGAAAACACAATTTCACTATAAATACTGCTTGCCTTAATACATGTATTTTTGCATACATTTTATAGTGCAAGAATTTTCTTGTAGTCTTGGTTGTATTTCTTTCCTTAAATCAATGGGCTAAGTCTGGTAAAACTGATTATTTTGTTTCTAAAGATACCAATGTTTTCATTTTGAGATACCGTTCTCAAAATCCACTTTGGAATCAACTTATTGAAGGGACTTCACACATTTGTAGTATCTCAGATATTATATATTTGATGACAAAATTCTAATCAGTAAGTTTAGTTCCTCAGTTTTCATATGTAGTATTGGGTCCCTAAAACATACTTGCAATTGAAGCAAAATACTTTGCCTGTGATAAGTTTGTGATATACCCTTAGAAAATAAATACACCGTAGAGTAGTAAGTAAATTGTTTGTTCTTTGAAATACAAAACAGTACAGATACTTTCCAGTAACATTATGTATGTTTATTTTGCATATACCCTTTTTGTTCCATTCTGAAACTCTTGATGTTTCTTATGCTAAAGCATAGTTGTTGAATAAGGACGTATGCACTACTTGTTCCTATGGTAAATAGAACTTACAATAGAACTGTACAAACTCTGCATATATGCTGAATGTGAAATATATCACAGATATGTATCGATAACAGTATATAAGATCTCTGTTTATAAAGGCATGCATTTTAGAGCTTCACCTTTAATTTTAAAAAAGGGAGCATACCAGATTTATTCTTCAAAGAGCTGTAGTATCTTATCTTGAAAATATCAACAACCATACTTACTTGCCATATATATTCTAGCTATTTTAACACATCTAGAAAGACAGTTGGCTGTATTTTCATTGATTTTTAACAGAAATTTGAATTTATTTTTCAAAATTGCTTTAAGCTTTAAGGAGACTCTGCGATGGCTGTATGAAATGTATTTGGGTCTAAATAGGAGAAGAGACTGTTGTTGGAAAAGCACTAGCCTGAGGCCATGTTGCTACAACCATTTGGATTCACAAATTACAGACTAAATTTTCAATATATGATTATCTGTATATCTCATTGTATCTGTACATCAGGATGTTAGACATTCAAGAGCTAATAGTTGTGCTTATAGATACTTATCTGTAGATGAAAGAAACTGCCTCCAAAAATAAAGGCAACTGCAGTGCCTTTTCAGGGGAAGGAACTGTTAATTCAAATTACTTCAAAAGTAAACATTTACAATCAGAAATTCACCTCCAGAAGTCAGCTTCTCAGAATCTGCTCTACTCATTATGTCAGGCAATGATTTTCCTTTTTTCTTCTATTAACATTCCAGGTCGAATCTGATGTGTTGTGGAGAGATGTTTCATTGTATCAATTTGTTTCCCCAACTGCAAAGCTTATGTTGGAAGAAATTCTGAAACTGGAGCTTTATTTTGAATATAGCAAACTGCGTCTGGTTTCTCTGAGTTCATTCTGTAATAATTACATTGCTCAAACTTCCATATAGGAATTATTTTTATTATAGACAGTTTTATTATTGAAGCTTATATACAACAGTTTATTGCTCAATGGTATGAAAGTACCTGTTTTTTATTGTTGTGTTTGGTTCCTTTTCCTCGGATCAGAAGGGTATAAATATAAATAGAAAACAAAAGTTGTACAGAATAGCAATTGAAAAGAATTATTTTCCTTCTATTACTTTATTGATTTTTGGTTTGTTTGGGTTTTTTTTCCGAATAGTTCTCAATTTGCCTACTACTGTAGAAGAGGTTTGCCCAAATATTCCTTCCTTGGTGAAACTAATGGACGAAATTGTGGAACTGGCAGAGTCTGGTATTCGTTACACGCAAATGCCACATATCATGGAAGTAATACTGCCTATGCTATGTAGTTACATGTCACACTGGTGGGAACATGGGCCAGAAAACAACCCTGACAAGGCTGAAATGTGTTGCACAGCCTTGACGTCAGAGCACATGAACACTCTCTTGGGTAACATATTGAAAATCATCTATAACAACCTTGGTATTGATGAAGGAGCCTGGATGAAGAGATTAGCAGGTAAGATGTAAAAATTTATAAACAAACAAACAAATAAGCATGTGTGTGTCTATTCAGCATGTGTGTGTGTGTGTGTATATACACACTCTGAATTACTCTGTTAAAGCTGGAGTAGAACAACACTCATATTTTTGTGTATGTAAACAATACAGACCTTGATGAACCAGAAATTTTAAGTATAAAGAGCAGTGTAAGCAGTATGTTTTAGTCTCTTAATAAGTAATATGAGAAGTACATAAGACTATTTCTTTTTTCCCAGAATATGCAGATACGTATTTTGCAGTATATTGAATTAAAGGACTATAGTTATTTAAGCCATTTTCATTGTACAGCAAGTTTCCATTTGCATGCATTACACAGTTCCTTGCTATTCTGTATGAGTGCTGGATCATTAAAATATTGTTTTGAAGCTGTTTATCTAACAAATCTAGTACAATGAAATGTGGAAATGCATATGTCATTTTAGTAATCCTTACATTAGCTTCATTGTGATAACGCCTTAAAATTTGTTTAAAAACAGTTTATTTCTCCATGTTACAATCTGTAAGGAGAAGTTACTTCGGCATTGTGATTTCATTTTTTCACTTAGGCTTTCTTACGACTTTTCAGTAATTATTACAGTATTCATTTCATTCATGGTAGCAGTCTGCATTCCTAGTCTTTTGAGGGTTGGTAATGTAATGCACTCTAAGGAGAAGTGGTAACTGCCTAAAATTCTTTGTAATCTAATGGATATGTTATAAATGGTTTTGCACTAATCGACCCAGATGAAGTGCTAATTTACATGTTCATATCTATGAGGAGATTTGCAAAAACCTTGTGATAACAAGTCTCACATGACTGGTTGAATCAGTCTCATTTCTGTCTGCACTCAGGCCTTCCAGTGTCCTAACGTGCATAAGAAATATAGGCGGGCTGTTTCAGTAGGTTTGCAACTAGAGCGTGCTTTCCAGTTGTACTTCACTCAAGCTAAAAAGCAAGATTCAAAAGAGGAGCCAGTGGCTGAGAAAACCTGTGTGTGCACTATGTAGTTATATAGGTATCCACCCATACATACCATTAAACAACAACTACATTACTCAATAAAATTATGCAGGCAAATACCAGTATGTTGACAGAATACCAGTAAAGAAGTATTTCAAGTTTTATGATCTGGCAAGCCTAGTTTGTGAAGTTGTAATTTCTGCTCTCATAGTGACAAAGTGAAATGCCTGTGTGAAATCCTGACCACATTTAATTCTTGGCAAAATTTCTGCTGATTTCAATGGGGGCAGGATTTCACTCTGTAGCCTAGAAATAAGATCCAAGAAAGAGGGCAACGGTAAAAGTTTTTATTTATATTTTGTGGCCAGGTATATATTATAATATTCATTGCCTTAAATAGTGTTTTCCCAGCCCATCATAAGCAAAGCGAAGCCACAGCTCTTAAAGACACACTTCCTGCCACTGATGGATAAGCTAAAGAAAAAAGCAGCAGTGGTTGTATCGGATGAAGAACATCTAAGAGCAGAAGGCAGAGGTGACATGTCGGAGGCTGAACTGCTCATCCTAGATGAGTTCACCACTTTGGCACGGGACCTCTATGCCTTCTACCCTTTGTTGATTAGATTTGTGGACTATAACAGGTAGGTGGAGAGGAATAGGTCAATGAATCTTGTAAAGTCTTCCTGTTTATTGACATCGTCTCTTATCCCTTGATATGCCTAGCACTGAACTAAAGTAACTTTTACTCAGCCTGCCAATCTTGAAGTTGCTCAACCTGATGTTTTGTGACTTTTAGGAGGAGATGGGATCTTTTTCAGAAGAAAACCAAAAAAAAAAAGGTGCAATCCAAATCTGTTGGATTAGACCTAGGCTTAATGTAAAAGGATTTTAAGGGTATTGAAATAGGACATCAAAAAGCCACTGCTACCAGAAAGGATTAAATCATGCATGCTTGGTTTTATTGACTTGTATCCCTGTAAAATGTTGAAAACTGATTTCAAAGCATAAAGCCCGTGAGGATCATCTGCATTTCCACCCTTTTACCAAATTTTAGGGCAAAATGGCTGAAAGAGCCCAACCCTGAAGCGGAAGAATTGTTCCGCATGGTGGCTGAGGTCTTCATTTACTGGTCAAAGTCTCATGTAAGTAATTCCTTGGTAAAGACTTGTTTTAATTAGGTTCCTTAGTAGGCAGATCAATTATTCAGTGGTTGTGTTCAGGAAAAAACATTTAATGACAGAAGTGAAACTGCAGATGGAAAGGTATTAATGACTTTCAGTTTTCTGACACTTTTGAAATGCCTGAGTAGCTAGGGAAGTTGATGGGTGTTTTGTAGCGTAGTAACACTGATTGTAGATATTTTTCTTACACATTCTGGTTTGTTTGTTGTGGGTTTTTTGTTGAGTGTTTTGTGTTTTTTTTTTTTTAATATCATTGAGGTCTGTGTCCTTACCCTTTTTTTTTTTTTCCCCCCAATCAATTATTTTCACCCCCAAAGCCTTTTTGTAACCAGGATGTATAGCTACTGAATTAGTAGTAGTTGTCTCATAAAAGTCCATTTTACTAAATTGTATAGTCTGTCTGCTTGAGCCTCTTGGCAGAGTTATGATAAAAATCTTGCATAGAGGTCATCAACACGACTAGTGAAACAAGAGTTTCCAGAAGAAATGTGCAGCTTTGTTTACTGTCATTTAATTTGTGTTGCGGTATATATTTGTATTTCTTTAATAAAAGTTAAAGGTATGTAATTCAATTATTAAGTCCAGGTCTGTAGCTGGGCTGAATGAAGGAAAATCTGTAAATGTTCTAAGAGCAAGGAAGTAGCAAATACATCTCACAAGTAATTCTCTGATGAAATCCTGTCCCTAGATGATACTATTTAATATTTCATAAATTTTACCAGTTAAGGATTTCTTCTTAATTCCACTTCTACAAAATTTTCCCTTGGTTCTCAAGTCTGATTCCTCTGGTTCATGTGCAGTAACCAACAGGTCTGCATTAAGACCCAATCAGGCACCATCACTGGTAGTGCTTAAATAAAAATAAAACATGATTCATATGAATACTAGAACAAAAGAGAAGGAAAAAACCAAAAGAGACTAAATACTTTCAGGCAATGGATCTGAGTTGTCTATACTAAATTTCTTTTCTACCATAACTTAATTCTCTCAAGTTTGGGAAACAAGATACTGTATTATTTGTGTACTTGGACGTGAATTGGACTGTAAGATTTATTATAAACATCACTGTGCACAGAAACTGGTTGCACAGTAGATAGATACTGGATCATGAAATTACCTGTGTGTTCATAAGTTCAGTCTTTTTATTTAAATTTTCTAATGTATCTGAATATGGTGGGATTTATAATGAGGAAAAAAAATGGAATGGATTATTTACTAGTAAGGGAAAACCCAGACAATATTTTTATATTTAATTAGAGGAGGAGTGAGATTTTTATCATAGCTGTTTCATAGCCAGAGAAATATTTCTTTCTCTCGAACATAGAAAAACACCCAAAACACACAGCCCCCTGAGCTATGTCATGTAAATAAAGCTGGCATTGAAGGCCGTTATCGATCATCCATTAATTTTTTTCTATCCTTATCTTGTGAATTTTACAAATTTCCACTTAATTTATATTTTTATTTAAGATTTGTTTAGATAGATTCCTCATATATCATAAGTCCTTCTAACTGAGATCTTCTATATATTTCCAGAATTTCAAAAGGGAAGAGCAGAACTTTGTGGTACAAAATGAAATCAACAACATGTCTTTCCTGATCAGTGACACCAAATCTAAGATGTCCAAGGTAGTGTAAATATTTTTATATTTTTCTCTTTGCAGAGGGAAGGGAGACAGGAGGACTCTAGAGAAGCACCTTTTTGTTTCGTTTTGTTGTATTTTGTAAATTTTATCTGTTGAAAACACTGGGTTGAGAGTCAAGACATAGTCGTTTGAGAAACACAGTGGACTTTCAAGATCTTGGTGCAAAATACTGGCAATGATATAATGGCAGTTCCATTGGGTAGGGTTGCAGCTGTATTGGTAGTGAGGAAATTGTCGAACTGGAGACAAATACAGAATTGCTAGTACAATTCTTTTATTTAATACTGAATTTTTTTTCACCTTTGCTTTATGCTGCAGGCAGCAGTTTCTGACCAGGAGAGGAAGAAAATGAAGCGCAAAGGTGATCGGTACTCTATGCAAACCTCTCTCATTGTGGCAGCCCTGAAGAGATTACTTCCCATTGGCCTAAATATTTGTGCTCCCGGAGACCAAGAGCTAATTGCACTGGCCAAAAATCGATTCAGTATGGTACGTACTCTTTTTGCACTTCTTACAGCATGACAAAAATAATCAAGACTATAATTCTGTTATATGAGAGCACAATGGGTGACGATGGTAGACAATAATCTACATATTGTTCTTGTTTTCAAGGCATACAACATTTCCGTTTGGACATACTTTCTAAACAATCAGTATATGAATAGAGTTAACATTCTTAAATTAAAACAGTTATTTCTCTCTCTTAATTTTTAATGCTAAATTGTGTTTGTTACATTTTATGAAGCTTAAATTTGGAAATCAAATAAGAACCGGATGTTTCCTAACTTCTATGCCCAATATCATAACTAATTCCTTTTCATCACTCTCATGTGAATGCAGGGATAGACTGTTTTAAAAGTGATTCTTCTAGGAGTAAACTGACTGTGCAATAATGTGATTGTAGTTTGGAATATACTCCTTTCTCAAGCTATAATACTTTATACCCGCTAGCAGGTTATATGACCTTTGGACAGCTGTACTGAATGTTTATAAAGGATAAAAGATCTCCAAAAGAAACAGAAATCAAATCGGAGAAGACTGTGTTCATGATATTGGTTTCATTTGATCAAACTTGGGTTAAAGTGTGCATATATTTGTAATTTTAATTCAGACTTGCATTTAGTGTGTTACTGTGGAGAAATATGAATGATGCCATCCAGAACTTGTTCCTGTGAACTTGGATATGGCTAGCTCTGGCCTGATACAAAAAGATGTATTACCACTGAGATTTTCCTCAGTCTTCCACATTGTCAGTTTTATTCATCATCTGAACTAAGCCCAAGGTTGACATTTATATGAACAATATCCTTTCTTAATTACCTTTTATTCCTAATTTATATGATTTGTAATTTATTGTCAGAAAGATACTGAAGATGAAGTACGAGATATCATCCGCAGTAATCTTCATCTCCAGGGCAAGGTAATCTATATGCAGATTTTAAACATTATTTTTCTTCCTTTGAATTTGCTTGTTGGTGCCATATAATGACAGCCTGCCTTGGTTAACTTGCAGTCCTTTTTTCTTTTCTGTCAAGTAACTTGTTCATGTCAATTGTTGAATGTTAGATTGGTAATGTGCTGTTATATGCATTATATACAATAACACGTGGCCCTTCAAATTTTTGACTACGCACACCATTAATATGAAATCGAAGGTGGAAGCAAGGACTATCATTGTTTAAACTCTACCTTCTATTATTGGGGATAGAACCTGCAAAATGCTCAAAGTTACTTTGTATCGGTTTGAAGTGTAGAGGAAAAGGAAGCTGTCACTTCGGGATACTCCGTGAAGTGAAAAATCTCCACTTTGCTCCATTTTGTTTCTGTTTTTCAGCTCAGGGAAAAGAATGTATTTTGGAAAAAGCATAGATTTTTCTTACCGAATTCCAATTAGTGCCAAATGAATAGCCCTAGGGAAAAAGTCCTGAACTGGCCCAGTGTAGTTGAACTGTTTTATGAATGCTTCAAATAATGGCAAAGAAGAAGCCCTAATGCAGAAGTATAATAAAATTATGTACATTTCATAGAATCATAGAATCATAGATTCTATGTACATTTCCTCTCTATTGAAGGAAGATGGAATTGGACCTATGGATGGTGCTTTATTTAGGATTGTCCTTTACCTCCTCCACCCACCCCAGGTTTTATTCACCTCAAGGAGAAAACTAGTTAGTATTTCCTGTGCTCATCAAATGCTTTCAAGAGAATAAACATGTGAGTTGGAAATCTAGTGCATTTTTCTGAGAAGGTATTTAAGAATCATCCAGAAGTCCACTGCAATTCAGTGCATGGCAATAAATTTAATTTTTTTAAAAAAATGACTTGCTAATGGGATGGTTCTTCCTGAATAATATCTGAAGATCACTTTTCTCCTATCTTATGTTTTCTGTGTATCGCTGCAATGTCAAGCAAGATTATGTGGAGATTGGGGTTTCTGGGAGCTCACAAGAAGATACATCATTTTGCAACACTAACTATTAGCATTTTTCATAAAATACTACAAATAAATACTACAAATAAAAGTCCAATAGCTTTAAATTATAGGGATTGCACATAGAAAAGTTTACACTGAAAACAAAAGATTTTGTTAAATCCTAAAAAAAGCTTGAAATACTTATCCTTACGTAGCAAATATTGTTATATACTAAGAAGCAGAAAAAACCACACAGGCAAAGTACTAGGAAGAAAAAAGCATTTATGAAGACCTTCATGACTCACAGTACTTAAGCAATATGCATGCCATGGACATACAAACCTTAAATGTGTTGTGATTTTTGTGTGTGAACATCAGTAATGTTTTCTTAAAGATGAAGATAGGTATTTCTGTTCTGACATTTTCAGTATGTGTATATTGTCATTTTGTGAGTTGTTAGTCTTGCCTGGCATTTAATACTGCTTCTTAGCACTTGTCCTCCTGTTTTAAATACTTCAGTTTCTATTTTGTTTCTTTAGGATTACGTTCTGCATACTGCTAATAAGAAATTCCTGTCTGTTAGTGCTTTGTTGCCTTGGAGTAATCATACTTCTAATACCTTGATCTGTGCTTTCTCTTCAGAAATTTCCTTTGCTTCAATTGAAAGTTTGCTCTTGTTCAGCAACATATCACCTCCTCTGCTTATAACACATGAGAATAAAAGTACTTTTAGATTTCTTATATTGATACAATTTCACACTGCCCTGATAATTAAGAGGGAAATAATCTTAGCTAATCCAAAGTACACGTTGATGGATTTTCTGGTTGTAAACTTTTCAGCAGTTCCTTTGGATTTTCGTAATTGTAAAATGAATTCCCAGTGGAAGATGACATTCTGAAACCAGACCACATAATACGTAGCTAACAAGGCTAAATAGCTATTGTAGCTAGCTTTATTTCCTGACTATCTACACATTGCTTTACTAGCTTTGAAAAACTCTGTTTTTGACCTGTATGTGAAAAGTAGTCAACTCAACTACGAACAAAATACAGCATTTCTAGGACTTCAGAACTTCAATTTATTATTGTATTTATTATCTTTATTATGATTTGTTATCTATTGCTAAGTAGTTTGTTCTCAGTGGCTTGAAATGTATCTTTTCATGAATCATTTAGCGCTGACATATTCTACTGTTCACATTAAACCTAAGTGTATAACTTAATTATTTAAAAGTATAATGTATAAGGTTAAATTCAGTAGTTATTTACAAAGTACAATATAATTTATTCCATAATTCTCTGATGTCATTCGTATTTGGTCACTGTCATGACTGAATCAAGCGCACATCAGATACAGTCAAGTATGATGTTTCTTGTTAAGAAAAAGTATGCCATTGTGCTATATGCGTACACTACCCTTTTGTTGTCTGATGAATTCAGACATAAAAGGAACGTAGGCCAAATGGTCTTACAAATTTAAATTATTATTTAATGTTATGAATTAATGTGTAACTTAGTTATAATGGTGTTTGTATAAGGTGGCTTTCAAAACAGAGGAAAAATAGCATGTTTTGGAAAGGCCAGTTTTCTTCCAACCATAGCAATATTCTTTCTTCAAATGGTGTTTTCGGTTAACCACTTTTGCTTCTCACAGATGCCGTGTTCTGTCATTTATGTTAGAGCTAAAATGTAATTTATCTTGATTTCTTTCTGGAAAACTGCACTGTTTGAGAATCATCCTTCTGAATCTTTAGCTATTAATGTTGTGGCATCTATTTCATGCATTTGTCGACCTTTGTCTACATTTGTCTTCACCCTGTTTCTGTCTTTCCTTTCCTTGCATGCCTGCATGCTGTTACTCAGTACCGAGCCTTTTATTTCAAGAAATTGATGACGAAACTTGCATTAATTTTGACATGGATGAAGCTCAAGTCACCAAAATCTTCTTCCAGCCATGCTAATTCACACCTTGAAATGTCAACTACTCATACCCTTAGAAAACTACCTATACAAAAAACCTGTACCGTGATAGAATGTGAGGAGTCCTCAGATCAAAAGACATCTCCACCTGTGATTAAAAAATCTATTGTGGACTATCCATTCATGATGATCCAGTCAAATGCTCACACAAAGACTGTGGATGTGACAGTTGTTAAGAAATGGAAAAGCCGAAAGGTGGAAGAAATGCCTGCCAATTGTGGCTTTCTAGGTTGTAATAAGCTATTATTGAGCAACTATGTAAGTTTATAATCATTCCTGGAACTTCAGTAAACTGTGTATCATAAGATGTTTTGTGGAGGTGAATTAGCATTATTGTCTCACCTTAAATTGAAATCTGGATCCACAAAGATGTTTTAGAAAAGTAAGTGTTGAGTTTAACCCCTATTTGAATCTGTAGGGTTTAGGTTTCTAAATGCTCTAGGAATCCAGGCTGGTGTGACTCAAACCTAAATTATAAAATCAGGAATGATCACTGGTCACAGCTCACAGTAAAACGGGTTACGCCTTGCATTTGTCTTCAGTGTCATTGGCACAAAAAATGGTTGCAAAGTGTGTTGCATCAGTGTTGTTTAGCAGAAGCACTGGGGAGACAAAATGAACCAAAAAAAAGAGATTGCTAATGGTAAAACAGAGAATCTCAGGTCACTGAAATGGAAAAAATTAAATGTAAAGAGAAAAGTAAGAAAAAACATTTTGCTTCATATAGCTCTTTATAATTTGTAGGCTAATAAGCAAATGCATCTTGAATTCATTTTTCATAAATTGACTTTTCCATTTTTAGCTAGTAATCAGTAAAATTAGGATTTTTCTAACAATTGAAAAGAACTAAAATGGAAAAAGTTAGACATAAATAAGACTAGTATTACTAATTTCCATGACGGAAAACTAAGTAATCCCAACTAGCAGAGCAACAATTTCATTGTTGTTTGGTTTAATAACTGGAAAGTCAGTGTACAAAGTCATGTCTGTCTACCTTACATTCATTACTTTTCCCAAGTAATATATTCACTGCTGGTGCCAGTGCTATTTGTTGGCCCCTGATCATTTGCTCTCTGTATGATTATTAGACTTGAACTCCTCTGGAAGCTCTCAGGAAACTTTGCACAAATAAGTCTAGTTTTGTTCTCCCAGGGCGGGTAGTGGTGTGCCCGCGGTTAGCCGTGTGAAGGTCTGGGTGAGCCATATGAAGTGCTTCTGTTGTCCTTTGAAGCACTTTCTGTAGTAAATTAAACTGTTTGACCCTACGTTTGGAACATCTTGCCTTGGTGACACGTGCAATGTTCCTCCCACAGCTTGAGGATCCCGCCATCAGGTGGCAGATGGCACTGTACAAGGATTTACCAAACAGGACTGAAGATTCCTCCGATCCAGAGAAGACTGTGGAAAGGGTCCTTGATATAGCTAATGTACTGTTTCACCTGGAACAGGTTAGACACATTTTCCCAATTCCATTGCTTCTTCATCTAAACAAAAGTATTCAGCCTTTCATTTATACTTTCACCTGCTGTATTTAATGTTATACTCTCTTTTTTCCTTTCTTTTGATGGCTGCTGTTTATGCGCTTTGCCTTGTGTTTTGTAATCCAATATCGTGGTCCTATTGATCACACAGTGTGCTTGCAGCAGCTCCAACAATCATTTATTTGGAAAAGGACTAAGAAAGTGATACCTGTGGTTTAGCTTCCTTCTGGTGCATTTCAGCTAGCAGGAAGTAATCACTAAATTGTCCATGGGCCATGAAATGTCAGTAAAAAACAACTTAAGTATTGAAAAAATACCTTTTTTCCCAAGATATTTTACCTCAGCTGAGATTCTTGAATTAGTGAAGTAGCAAGAAACTTGAAGCTGCTACATAAATATCTGGTTAGAAGCTGTATATTACAGCTGTGTGGAGTAGGACAGTCAGATGGTTTGATACACTTCTCTAGTGATGGCTCTAGAAAGCTACTTACTAGTTAAAAAAATTGTAAGAAGAATGACCACTTGACAAAATCTGTATGGAAGTTTGTGTGAATGTAGGCAAGAATATATGCATTTAGAAAATGAAACTGGCATTGAAATTCAGAAAATTCTTGATAATCTGGAAGTTTTAGTAAAACTACTCTTTGGTGGTCCAGGAAACTGCTTGCATATGTGAAATCAGACTCTTTCATGCTGGTGCAACGGTGAATACAAACCAAGGTTAACCTAACCTTGCTGCATTCAAGAAATAGTAGAAGCAGGGTGGAGGAATGATTTTTCTAAGGAAGTTCTGGCAGAATCTTTAAGTTGTTTTAGAATCTGGCATGAAGCTCTACTGTTTTATCTAATATTTTTGTGCATAAATATATGAGCTTCCTATGTGACCTGGACTACAGTAACTTTCATTTTAAAAAATCTGTAATTTATTTTGTGTCCTTCTTCCCACTAGCACTGATAGAATTTTGTCTTTAACTTGAAGGGTATTCCTACTGGCAGAGATGAATGCTGCTGGTTACACCATATACTATAAACTGACCGCATATAAAATTTACTCAGGTTTTTTTTTTTTTTCCTTTTCAAAGAATATTTGAGAATTCAAGGCTCTCTTACTGTCTCATCAGATTAGTTGGTTTCATTCAGAAGCTTGGCACAGGTTTTCAGATCCCATGTCAGGAGGTTTCCGTGTTGTGATGAGATCACTGGTTCAGTCAAGCGGCAATCTGAGAGAAAGTGCTTGTGTAGACACTGTGCAGCACTTGAATGCTAAAAGTGACTTTCAGACATCCTGGAATGCACAGTGTGTTGATGTGAATACCTGCGTCCTGGCTGTTGCATCGCAGAACTCTTCTTCGTATAGTTTGCCAGCCTTAGTATGGACTAGCTTCAAGTTCAGCAGCCTTATGCAGTTTGAGAGATGAGGATTAGGAGGAGTCACTAAATTTTACTAGTTACTGACTATGTGTGGAGCAAGCAAAAAGTGATAGAATGTCGAATTAAATCCATGGCAATCACGGTTAGCGTACGAGAGAGAGAGAGACAGGAGAATGAGTATTGATTTGAAAGTATGTATGGTGGCTGTGAGGAAGAAGGAAGAGTAGAGGAAAGCTAGAAATGGGGAGGGTCGAAAGGTCTTGCCTTTTACCCTGGTTTTATAGAAGTTAACCGAGCTGAAAGTAAATTGATTAGCATGTACAGAGTTGCATAATTCAGCATTAGACTCTTGTATTTGAGTTCAAATAGCATATACAATCTCTTGATTTCTGGCATTTTAGCTATACCATCATGTATATAAATTGGTGAAGCTTGTTCAAGGGAGTGAAACCCAGGGTATGATCCTTGTGTTTTCCATGTCCTGTCATAGTATCAATCTCACAACGTATAGAATCCAGTAGTAGTAGAGAACAGGATGGATTCCCATTGTAATACCAGATCGACATTTTGGATCAGTCCTTCCAGTCAGACTTAAACAATGACTTATAGTGAAGTAAATGCTGGCTGCTTTTATTCTGGGTACTTTACACCTATTTGTTTAAAGATTTGGCCCCACAGCTTTACTTATCTTCTGTAGACAAGTGCTCAGGTGCTTTTGTTACTGAAATGGGTAATTCCATGTCTTCAAAAATAATGAATGTGTGAGCACTGGGGCTGTTCTTATGATAGTCTTGAGTAATCCTTTGCTCTCCATATACAAATACTCTGTTCTCCATATGTACATACTCTGAGTGCTTTCCTTATTGCACTGACAAAGATCAGTTCATTCTTTGTATTTTCTTTCCAAGCACAGCTAACTTCTTTGTTTCTATTATTTTCAGAGATCTGCTTGCATAGGCCGAGGCTATTTCTTTTGGGAAAGTATAGAGGGTTTTATAGTTGTTTGTGAAGATATTACTAACTACCTAACTTCCACATTTGAGTTTGTCTGACTTTAATTTATTAGCACCGACTTTGTTTTGTGACTGTAAATATGTTTGCAGTGAATGCTTTTCTATTCTTTTTCCTAACAAATATTTTTCGTTTGTATTTTATCTTTTGGAAGGGACTTTTTTTTAGAATGTCACCGTTTAATCTTACAAGTGTAATTATCCATTTCACTGGATGCTTGGCAGTATTTTAGTCTGTTTAATTAAATGCTTATCATTTAACTACGAATAGTTTTTTGTATTCCACTAAACTAGAAAAGTCCTCTTGGATAACTATGTTTGGATTGAGTATTGGGTTTGTATAAACATCACCATCACTACATATTTTAGATAAAATGCATTATTTTATTACAAGGGAGAATCACCAAGTCTGTCAGGATAGTTCTGCAGTCATAGTTCCCAGTTACCCAGTCAGGCTATATACTGTTGCATGCAGTTGCTCTTCTGGACCACAGTAGTCATTTTCTTCTGAGGGAAAGAAGGATGGAAGGTGGAATAAAAGAAACTGAAAGAGCAAAAGATGAGGATGGAGCACACCCAATTTAATCTCATGCTCCTGTAGAGCCCAGGATGCAGAAAGAGAATATATCTGAAGACAGAGCTATAATATTATGAAATGTAGCTGAAGTGTTTTGGAATATCTTAGGTTCATTCAAGCTATGCAGATTCATGGAAGGGATTTAGTCCTACGTAAGTGTTTGTGCCTGTCTCTCATTTTTAAAGTTACTTCCTTTCCATTGTAGCTGGTCATGGTAAATATTACAAATAAAATATTAACTGTATTTAAGACAATACCTTTAAAAGTATTGTCTGAGGCAATATGAAGGTATACAATTTACCTGTACATATGTAAAGAGTTACATATAAAAGGCAGAGTGAAGATTCTTTCAATTAAAAGTTAGGGTTTTCTGAGAGATGGCCTCGATGGTAATATTCTATCTAAAATATATAAGAAGCAGGATGAAGTACAAAAGGAGAATATCTGTATCATACAAGGAAAGGAAGATTTTTCCTTTTAAGTTCATTTTCTAAATTCTGATTCTACATTTTGCGTGATTGCTTGAACTCTGTCTGAAACACTTTATGCCATCTATTATTCTTCTGTTATCTTTCCACTCGATTTATCTGTTATCTCACATTTTTATTATTATTACTATGCCCAGACAGTAGGGACATTGCCACATTGTTTATTTTTCCATGTGTATTTTATGTAACAGGTTGAGCATCCTCAGCGGTCCAAAAAAGCAGTGTGGCATAAGCTACTGTCTAAACAGAGGAAAAGAGCAGTAGTTGCCTGCTTTAGAATGGCACCATTGTATAATCTGCCAAGGTAAGAGCTACATTAGTTCTATCTCTCACAAATGCATTTATGTTCATACAGTGCTATTTGGCAAGATGGAAAGGAAGAAAACCATGTAAACCAGTAATTGATAAACTGAGGGGTAATGTACTTTGCGTATTACTTTCTTTTAATAGGTCTAATTACTTTCTTCTCATATGTCTTTTGAAAAGAATAACAAAAAATATGATTTTAAATTTCTGGTTCTGTCCTCCTGCTGTTATTCCACCTGTTCCTCCTGGTATGTTTTCTTTTCTGACACCTTTCATAGGAGATAAATGCAGAAACAGACATATTGGTGTCACTGTAATATCATCTTGGGAGATAAATTTCCTCCTAAACCCTGGTGTAGCTCTGGAAATATGGAGTTCAATAATACCTTCATTATTAGATGCTAAATGTTCTATATGCAGGAAATAAACTGATACTATTTATCTGAAAACTTGTCTATTTATTGTGCACTTTTGGGAAGAGCATTCTATTAGACAAGAAATACATGCACATATTCTAGGCATTTCACGCCTTTTCCTGTGGCTCCTTTTCCTCTTTCTTGTTCCTATAGTCAAGTGATTTTCAGAATCCTGAGGTTCTGGAAGGAATGAACATTCAGGAAAAGTAAAGGCATCTGTTTTTTTCATGCAGTTGCTAAAAATAATTTCCAGAATGCTAGTATCTGATCTTTTCAACATAATAATGTTCTCATATTTTCCCAAAAGTATGCGTATTGTTACTGTTACCATAGTTAGTAGGATGAATCTTTAAAGTCTGTTCCAGGAAGCACGAGGGCATGAGAATCACACTAGCTTGAAATGAGGCTGCCATGACAGTTGAAAATAGAACAAAGATATCTCCATGTGTAGCTGTTCTTACTTTAACAAGTAGGTCATTCGCACATAACTAGCATTCCTGTGTATTTTAATTATACTTCTTCCTTTTCACTATATAAGACTGGCAGTTGTTTAAAAAATTAAAATGACTGATAAAATTCTTCATGGAGAATTGGTTGTCACACAGTCCATTTTGCATTGAATCCTCAAGAAAAAAAAAACCAAAACCCGGTAAACATCATTGTTGACTTACCATCTTTCCCCTAGCCTCGTCATCCATTTAATTTCATGGAGTTTGGAAAAAAATGGTTTATTATTTTAGATATAAAAATCCTAAACATTAAATAAATGCAATTATTTGAGCACAATCCAAAGTTATCTATTGCTGTTATCTTAATGTTTAAATTAAAACAATATGAAAATATTTTATATTACAAATAAAACTCACTAATGTGGTGAAGTAATTGATTTTGTTTCTTGTGTTTAAATTTCTTTGAAGTTCTAGTTATTATCTTTTCCTAAAATCATTATTATTACATTTTAGTATCAGTTTTATAAGTTAATGGGACTCAGTTTTGAATAGAGCATTTTAATGTAAACTTAATTTTTAAAATAGGTGCTTTCAGAAGGTTTTACTATAGAAATTTTGCTTTCCTGTTAAAAGGTAGTTGTAATGACTGGACAGTTCTTCAAGCAAGTGAAATTCATATTGACCAAATTTTCTCTTTCAAAGTTTACAGCTTTTCTTTTAAATGTCCCTTTTTAGGCACCGAGCCGTCAATCTCTTTCTTCAAGGCTATGATAAATCTTGGATTGAAACAGAAGAACACTATTTTGAAGACAAACTGATAGAAGACTTAGCAGTACGTCTGGGTGCAAAGGGTTGTGGGAATGTATTACAGATTAACATGCATCTTATATAATAATAATTATAAATCTGTGAGGCACATAAGGTATCGTCTAAGTGATCTCTGCCCAAAGGGGTGAGCTATAACCAAGTCGCTCTGACAGGTATTAAAAGTTACAAGGGATGGAATTCCAGAATCCCCTCAGGCAGTCTGCTTCAGGGCTCCAGTAACCTTTTATAAAGCTTTTTAAATTTCTGTCTAAATTACATGCCAGTTGCTGTCATTCTCCTATCTCTTACCTTCCGCCCTGTGGAGAAAGGGAACAGCCTATTCCCTTCTTTCTTTGCAGTTAACCTTTATGGATTTGAAGACTTCATAACGCACATTAAGGCCATTGAAGTCAAAAGGTTAGAATACAGAACTAGAGGAATTTTAGTCTTAGATTAATCAGTCCCTTCAGAAGCAGACAGAGTCTGCTGATGCTTCACAGAAGAATCCTCTTGTCAAGGATGTGAGGATTTTCCCCATCAGTAAAGTGTTAGAGACTTTAGTCTTTAGCCTGGTAAACCCCCGGGGTGATTTTCAGTAAAGCCTGGTATCCTCATCCTTTACAATTGTCTCTCAGAAAGGTAGCTCTTTCAAGGGTTGGGCAAGAACTAGTACTAGGAAATTATTCAATCCTTAGGAGGTCCAACAGAACACAGTCTGAGATCAATTTTTTTATTGCGAGGAGAGCCTACTCTCTGCAATAGAGAGGAAGCTAACTGGAAAATTGCCGTTCAAAAAACCTCAACAATTTGCTTTTACTGTTTAAAGCTTATGCTTAAACCCAGCTACCCAAGTTGTGAACAGTTTTGAAAATAAGGGTCAAAATAGTGAAAGGAAGATTAGCAGCAATGAGCTCAACATAAGCAGACTGTGGAAGTTCATTTTTGCCTGCACACATGCCAATTCATTTCTTGTATGATCTTGCATTTATTACTGTATGATCAAGCACTGTGAAAAAGCAAGAGACTTCTGCAAATAGTTACTTTGCTTACAGCCTTTTATAAACTGATACCTTCATGTATCCCAACACACTGCAAATGTTTTAAATAACACAGTTTCATTGCCAAAAACCAGTTATGTTTTAGCAGTTGAGAGCACGTGTGTGTAGATATGGAATGTGGAACAACCTAGCTCTTTGCATGTGTGTATGTATGTGCAGTTGTGTAGTGTATGTGTGTGCAGTTATGTATGTGTGAATAACCCAGCATGGTCATTTGGTTACACTGACCTAAAGGGTTATCTCCTTACCTCTTCTATGAAACCTTATCTTTGCTATGTTTATGAAGAACTCCTTGCTGGCAGGCAGATTAAGTGAAAAAACTATCTTAAAGACAGAAACAGACTGGATTCACTGCTGTATCATCCTTTACTAAAGGACTACAGGCATTCCCTTGTCACTCCTCAAGCATACAGATGAGTGTGTCTCTAACCCTCTCATGAGGAGAGCTGTATTACAACTTTCATTCAAAAGAGCAAACAAAACTCTATCTGCCTTTTAAATTAATTTCTATTACATTCTTGTTGCTTTAGAGCACTCTGCTGGAGGGTGAGAGTTCTACTGTTCAGCTCTGTGGAGCTGACCCAGGCTGCTATGTGGACTTCATGAGAAATGTGGTTGTGATGCTGGTGAAGGTTCTCTGTCCCTCTTAGAGAAACTGTACCCTGGGATAGCAAGGAATTAAAGTTTTAGTGGACAGTCAAGATGGAGTCACAGCCCAGGCTGTGGTGGTGGAACTTGTCTGGAAGGGGAGAAAGGAGGGGCCTTGGCTTCTCTAATGTGTGCTTGAAGGATCATCTGAAGTTTCTGAACTGTTCACATATTGGGTAGAAAACCATAACAATCCAGGGCCCAGAAACTACAACCAAGACTTCCTGTCCTGTGCTTTAACTCTCTGTAGTCAGTAAACTACAGTGTTGTATACCGTAGTATGTTCTTTCTCAATACCGGAAATTTTGAACTCTCTTTTCTGCTAAGTAGAAATAATTTAAAGGGAGAAATGCAGTAAAGACTACCTTCTTCCTGACTTTGCTAGATCCAGGCAATTTATAGACTTGTGGTGAGGGCTTTTTGTGGGATGTGGGAGATGAGTGTTTGTATCCCCTAAAGCAGAAGACTGGAATAGACTTACAGTTTTGTTCCCTGAATCTTCTGTCCTTAAGTCTATTAGGCAAAAGTGACACTACTACTTCTCCCTCTGTACATGAAAAGAAAAAAGTATACAGAAGTATTCTATTGAGGAGCTTAGTTCTCGTGATTCTTCATCATCAACGTTTAGAAATGACAAGTAAAGCTTACCCAACGTTTTTGTTTTTTCCTCTTCTGTTAACGTTCAGTTAAAGCTTTAGCTTTTTATTTTACACTTAAATAACTATAAGGCAAACATCTCAGAACATTGAAAATTAAGAATAATTATTTCCCAGAAATGTCAGAAAAATCATTTGATTCTAGCATTCATGCTCTGCTTAATAATGAGTTCTACTTAACACAGTCATTGGTGAATTTGATCCTCCATTTAATTCAAATGAAATCTATGAAGACTAATAACTTGTATTAAACATTAACACAACTTCTGCCCTTTTGCTTTGTCAGTTTTGATAACATTAGAGAGTTATTCTGGTTGATAACATTGCCAAGTATAGAATGCTGCCATTTAATTAAAGAGAAAGGTCAGCATCCTAAATGAGATTGAAATAATGAGCAGGGGAAGACATCCATAATGGTGAGATATAACTAGAGTTATAATTTGCATGGTTCAGATCTTGTTATTGATACTGAAAATATTGTCACATATTGCAAAATGTGAAATGAAACTTGTATGGCCATCATCGGCTAGCATGAGAAACAATCATTGTGCATATATCTCAACTAAAGTGAATTCTCAGCTGCAACCAGCCATGTTTGGTACAGCTGAGTGGAAAAGGTGGACTTCACAGGCACATACGAAATGTAGCACACACAGAGATATATAAGCATTCTCACAGGAATGTATTTGACACTAGCACACACAGGTTTTTTAAGAGGCAAAAAATCCATTTTCCTTATGTCTGTCGTGGCCAACCCTTCCTTATTGCTAACAGATAACATCTGACATTATAATAATTTCTTACTTGGGCGGTCTTATCAATGCATGCAATTGATTTTATTTGTATTTTAGTGCATACTGCTAGGTGAAAACAAGGAGGAAGACTGGGCATAATTTATGCAACCAATTTTCTCTGAGTTTGTAGAAAAATATATCTGGATGAAGCAATTTTGTTAATAACTTGATATGCAAAACATTCTGAAATGTCTTTTGGCAAAAGACAAGAAGTCAGAGGACAGATTTTTGTATAGATTCTTTACAAAACACTGCTTCAATAGTTGCCATTATAGTATTTAGGACTACATTTTTCTTTTAGAGGGAACTAACTAGAACTGTCTAAACCTGAAAGCAAAATAACCACATGAAAAAACCTACTTCTGTGTATATATATAAATGAATGATATATAAAATGTTTTATACATTATTGATTTGTCACCTTCTACAATTCTACATCCTGCAAGCGTTATTGTTGTTGGTAGATACGGCTCCTTCTGTTGAAACTAGTGGTGAGCTTCAGGTTTGGATTTCTTCTCCCTCAAAGCCTCTCAGGGTTCCTCAGCGAACATTATACCTTGCATAAGATTTGGAACAGAGGATTCTAATTTTTAGCTGATGAAGCTTGTTACCATAGAGAGGAACAGACAATATAATAGCAAATGAGGGCATCTGGCTACCACTTGTTCTGGATAACAGCAGTAAAAGATTGAAGTTATTTTCAGAATCTAGGGAAGAAGGTTAATTTTTATAGGGAGAGGAACTCCAAAGTTTTGTGAATGATATCATCATTGTTAGTCTTCATGGTCATAAACATGGTCAGGATTCAGGCTTTTCATACTTTGCTTGGAACTTGTGTCCTCCTGGTTGTCCAAATCAAAATTACATATGTGAGTATTTAATGTTTAATAAATTGCACAGAGTATAACATTTTTCCTATAGATAATTGAATATACTTTTAAAATCTTTTTTTCCCTAAAGAAACCTGGGGAGGAACCACCAGAAGAAGACGAAAGCCTTAAAAGAGTTGATCCTTTACATCAACTTATTCTGCTATTCAGTCGAACAGCCTTGACTGAAAAATGGTAGGGATGGTGTGAGAGACTGCAGAGTGTATGCCGCTTTTCAGATTACTCCTGTATTTCAAGTTATACATGTCTCTGTTCAAGTGAGATTGCATAGGCTAGGCCAAAACATGTGCGTGTGTACATATGGTGAGTGAGTTACACTCAAACCTCTCTAGCCTGTGGTATGTAAAGAGGTTTTAACATGACTGATAATGAGATGTAAGGAGTTTCCTAGAGACAAGTAGATGCCCCTATACACTTTTTCACAGTTATGGATGCTGTGTTCAGGACTTACTGCACCTTTCTCTTCTGTCTGCGTTCCCTATTGACAGTTACATTCTGAATGTGAAGTATAGGTATATCCTAGGTGTAATTGAAAAATTAACTATGTTCTCTTCATTGGAAGGTGTTTATGAATTTCTGAGCACTATGTTTGTAGCTGACTTTACTTTTCAGTTTGTATTAGTTAATCAAGTCCTCATTTTCCCAAAAGACTTTTGTAATTTATTACGAGCATAGAAATCCTTTAAACAGTTTTTTAAAGTGATTAAAAGTATTTTGATGCTCCAGTTCTACTACAATGGCTCTAATCTTCCTCTTTTCCCCTTTCTTCTCTCCATTAACCAGCAAATTGGAGGAAGATTTCCTGTATATGGCTTATGCTGACATTATGGCAAAGGTATCTTTTACATCTTTTCTGTTTCAATAAAATTAATGAAGAAGATCAAGAGAAATTCTGTGTAAAGTGAAGGAAGGCTTATCCTCACCCCCCGCCTCAACTTATCAGTAAATGTTTTCTTTCTATATGGTATCAGAGCTGCCATGATGAAGATGATGATGATGGTGAAGAAGAAGTGAAGAGTTTTGAAGTAAGATTATACTTCTGTTTTGTTTTTCTTGTCATGTTAGACATTATTTCATAGCTTCCAACTGACATTTGTGTTTCTTGGTTCATGGCTTACTGCAGCTTATTATGCCAGTGAACTGCATGTCAGAAGCTGGATTGGCAGTTATGAGTCACCAGATTCACAGCAGTAAAACAAAAACATAAGTAGTATCTCATAATATAAGATTAGAGAGAGAGTAATTTAATGGATCTGACATGTTTAGCTGATTGACTTTAACATTTTAGTTGTTGAAGAGAAATATTATGGGTAGTGACTTGTTCTGGAAGGCTGATAATAACAGGCTGTCTCTTGTAAAGTATCATGTCCTACCTTTAGTCTCGATAGCTAAAATACTGAAATAATACTGCTTTTTGCAGTAGTCATTTACGTTCAGTACCAGTAATTTGTATAGTATTTTTATGTTCACATGTATATTAGTGCTTCTTAGTAAAAGGTGAGCTTTTATTCATCAATACTTCCAAGCTTTTTCTTATGTTGAGAATAGGAAATCTGTATTTATTGTTGTTTAATGTTGAGTTTTTAGTAATCATCACTGTATAAGGAACCAGACTTACATGAGTTGATTATGAGAGTAAGAGAGGAGTCCTTGTCATGTGTTTGCTCTGGGATCTGTCTCTCTTTTTCCATTGATAAAATGGAGTTTACAAGAAACTTGCCTGTTCTGAAGGGCACAGAACTTGTTAATATTTTTTAGTATTTTAATATATTTTAGCATGTTATAATTCTGACATTAAAATGTTGTCTGATATCTTTCAAATCAATTAATACTTATATTTAATATCTTTACTAAAACACAGAAACATGAAATACATGCTTTTCTTATTTCTTTAAAATATTTCTAAATATACTGATTGATTTGATATAAAACTACCTGTGCTATTTTGATTTTTGAGGAGTGGTTTGGGGCATGTTTACTTTTACTCCCATTGTTTTGTACGCATCAGATGTTCTATAAGTTTTCTACATGATGCTACATGAGATAGCACTGACTTATTTAAGTACGTATTCCCTGTTTGACTGTATACAGAAATCAGAGAGAATACCGATGCCAAATTCTTTTCAGTCACTCAGAAGTTTTAGTTCAGTTGATTTACAAGTAATGTGCCTAATATATAAATTTCTGTTTCTTGGTAAATATCTAAGTATGAATCCAAATTTCAGTGCTTTTTTTTTTGGTTTTGTTTTAGTTTGTTTGTTTTTCCCCGGAAAAGCAATGTATGAGTTATCATTGACTAAACAAACAATATTTATTTCTATAAGCTTTTTTCAGTTAGCCTGTGCATGCTTGTTAGTTATCAAAAGTCTTGTGCTTATAAATGTGAAAATTTGTAAATAGGAAGTCATTGAGATGAATGAACAAATTTATCAGTAAGGGATTTATTAGTGCTCCTTACCTAAATTATTATGGGTTCCTTGTCAGCATTCAACTTTATCTTTTGAGAGAAGATCCTATTAATTTGTTTCTCATTATTGTTTTTCCTGAAACTATGAAACTTATGTTCAAATAATGTATTAATCTGTTCAAAAGACAATTTTGTGTATGTATTTGGTCAGTCACCTGCAGAAAAAAAAATTTTGGACTTCTTTTTCTTATTACTATTTCGCTTCTTGTCCTTGCCCTTCCTTAAGGTGACAGGATCACAACGCAGCAAGGTAAAACAAAAAAATATGTGTGTATTTGTCTGGGTCTAATTTTGTGGTTTTTTTAGGCCCAACATCTTGGATAAGTTCAACTAAAGGGTCCTCAAAACGTTTTTAACATTTCAGTTCCAGCATGACATCTCTACCAAAGCCTTCTTGTGCACAAACTCTTTTTAAAGACTCCAAGAATTATTTATGCAAAATATGTCATGTAAAATTACGTTGCCATTTTGGGGAAAACAGTGTCATTTGGCTTGTTCATATTGTTTTGCTGTTCTTGCCTTTTGTGCATCAGTTATCTTCTTTCTGGTTATAATTTCACTTGAATGATTAAAATAATTTCTTTGGTTCTTAAGGGAAAGCAGTTGGACTTTTCTTCTGTATCTTACGAGACATGCATTTCTAATACAGTAGTAGAATTCTGTTTCCAGTGTTTGTTACAGAGAGAGCATCAATTATATTAGAGTTTATCTGTGATTCAGATCCTTTGGAACAGACTGAGTCTTTAGCCTTCGATGTGGTAGTATTTGATAGAAACTCCATAGCTACTCCATACCTGAAGTGACTCCTAGTTGTTCCGTATTTTCTCTAAAAACATAGAGGCAATAGCTCTGAAATTTCACAGTGTTAATTTTTTTTATTGACTCAGTTTCTTACACAGTCTGTTGTGTCTCATCATGAAAGTCTCACCATTTGTTTCTAAAAGATGGCCTGTGGCTTAAGCACCAGCCTACTTGCCTACTTCATGCAAGTGGAAGTCTCAGTTCCCATTGCTGACTCAGGCTGCTGGCTGATAGCGCTGATGTTCTGAGAGGAGGTGTGGTGTGTGAGGTAGCTAATTTTTGGTTCTGAGGTGTTTAAATATAGTTATTTGTGCTGTGGCTAATGGCAACTAGACTAAGCAGAGATGACTTGTATAGATAGGGAATGCAGAGATTTAGCTGATGGTCAGACTCCAGTCAGTAGCTTTAAAGTTCATTGCCAGTGGGAACATGGGGAACAATTATAACCTTCTCCATTGAAAAAAGCCAGATGATTTTGGTGTTTTGTTTGCTAGTGCTTCTATTAACATTCAGTTCACAAAAGAAAGAGGTTCCCATACAGCTGTGGAAAGAGAAGATGTATCCCAGGATAACCTTCACTCTTACTCCTTCTAAAGTTTGCACAGATCTGTTCCACCTTCAAAGGATAAAGGCATTATCCTGGAAGATGAATGCACTCACATGGGCTCACAAAAAGTTGCTTAAAAGGTATTATAATTGCCACAAACACAAAATACAGATTACAAAACCCCAGAGGAAGTTTATAAGCAATCTAATACTATAATTTCATCTTTGTTTCTTCCATTAATTCAGCTATTCAAATACTACATGTCTATCACTCTGCCTACCTGGTTACTGTACACTAAATGCAATATGCTCCACAGAAAATTTTCTGTCTTGCTGATTGAGAATTTTTTTAAAAGGGAAAAAAACCACAAGAATAAATAGTCCTTGCTTCCTTCATACATGACAAGAAACAGTTGTAAAGATATGAAACCATACATACCAGCTGTGTGTGTGCAGGTGTGTGCATTTGTGCGTTTCTGTCTGCCAGTCTGTCTATCTCAAAGTTCAATGTTGAAGGCAGTTCTTTTATTCAATGCTCTGTGTGCATGGCTGGCTGTTCAGTTTGCATGGGAATAAAACTCTACTGCTCCTCTAGACTTTAAAACTGTGTGATGTTTGAAATCCTGAATCTTTTCACAGTCAGAGCAACAGAGACCTTTGGGCAAGCTTAGAATGTGATAAAAACGATGAGTGTATTTTATCAGCAATTGTCATGCCCATATCTCATGCAGTGTAGTCTCATTTTTGTACAAATAATCTATATTGGGATCACTGCCTGGGCAGCAGGGAGGTCACAATATAAACCCACAATAAAGTTGTCTGTGTGTTATATGTGACTGTCTACATTTGCCTGCAAGTATTTGCTTTGAATTACTATGATTATCTTTGCTCCTTGCCCTTTGTCTCTAAGTAAATTTTCTATCGTATTGAACAGATGCTCCATTGACTGCCTGTAGAATTGGTGTCACTGTCCCCCTTGATTCTATCTGATAGGAGATTCTTTCCAATCAAAGTGTTTCACTAGCTGAATGCAAATAGGTTTCTGCATTTGACTCACTGACGCTATTGATTTGCTACATATTAATGTGCTTTAAATAAGTGTAGGGTAGGAACTCAAAAAAAGGAATGAAAACCTAGCTCATCTTTTTAAAATCAATTGGTTTAATTTGGTTTAAATTGTCTCTTCACAGGAAGAAAAGAAATGGGGGAGATAGAGGTTCCTACGTCAGTTTTCTTCATCCCTGTTACTGGTAGCAACTTTGTTGGTAGACTTTTGTATTCGCTAGATTTTTGTCAAAATGATACATTGTGCTGTCACTTATCTCAGACACAGAAAGACTTGCAAGTTTCACTACGGTCAAATAATGCAAGCTCTTAAGGCTCTAGCCCTTCGGAGATAGTCACTGTTACCTCTTGCTGTCACGAAGCCTGCATAAATCAAGTGACCATATACCATCTATTTGCAATAAGTAACTATTTTTATTAAAGAATGATACGAATTAGGGTCAGACTCCATGATCAATGTATCAATTCTTAGGAAGTAAACATCCCAATTAGTAAGCAAAAATGTGTTTCTCTTTAGTTTTTCATACCCATAATGGAATGGATGCAACCTTATACATGATTTCATCCACAGTTACAGGATAAGTTATTTATCCATAGAATCATAGAATAGTTGGGTTGGAAGGGACCTTTAAAGGTCATCTAATCCAATCTCCCTGCCACGGACAGGGACACCTTCCACCAGACCAGGTTGCTCACAGCCCCGTCCAACCTGGCCTTGAACACTTCCAGGGATGGGGCAG